TCGGCGGGAGGGGTGGGGGGCGGCCCGAGGGGGCGGGAGAGGGTCCGGCCCACGCTGCGCCTGGGCTGGGACTGGTCCCACCGGCGCAGGGTAGCAGGAAGCTCTCCACACACTCACCGGACCTGGGCTAGGACTGGGTCTCTGTGCTTCACCTTAATGTTCTGGTTTTTTCCCTCACTTAAGAGAAACCTAACTGCCCCACAGCACTGCCCACCCATCCCAGCCAATGTGCTAAGCAAACAGCATGTAATTTTGGAGGACCTGTTTCATGTCATTCACACAGGGTGGTGTGCTAGTAGACAAAGCCAGTCAGTGCCCACCAATACCTGATTGCTCTCACTTTTTGGGACACCTAGAGAACACTCCTAGACCCTTAGAAAGAGGAAGGGCCATATGATTAGCTTAAAACAGAAAGAGATGCTACTGCTTTTAGTCTAACACAGTAAGAGGTTCCACTTTTTATTCCTCTTCTCCCTTCTAAGGTCATAAATTGAGAACGTGGGGCCTCAAAGGGAGTCCTCCAGGAGTTTTACTATCATCAACTAGAATAAGCCACAAAGGACAGACACAGTACCTATCTACATTAGACTTTGCTACAAATAAGGCATTAATTTTTATGTAATGGTGGGGCCAGGGAGATGGCCCAGTAGAATAAGCACTTGCCTGGCAAGCGCAAGGGTCTGAGTTCAATCCCCGGTTCTGCCAAAAAAAAAAAAAAAAAAAAAAAAATTATGTGATGAGTGACAGATAATTAGGACTTTTCACTGATCGTTTATGGGATTTCTGAATTATCACAATGGTGTAAGGGCTGAGCCTATACTGACTATCACAGCCAAAAGCAGTGGTCAGCTTTCCTTTGCCATGACATATAATTGGGATAACAACTCAGAGGAGGAAAGGCAACTCTGGCTTACAAACTCAGAGGGTTCAGTCTGTGCCATGTGGTTCCACTGTTTGTAGGACTGTGGTGAAGCAGAAACATGATGGAGAGTATGACTGTGTTTGCTGCTTACCTTAAGGTATGGGAGACCAGACAGGAAGAATGAGACCTAACTAGCCTCTCCTGTGAGCACCAGAGAGAAAGGCAACATGAGTGCAAACACACTGCAGGGAAGGTCATACAGCTGAGACTGTCATTTACTCAAGTACGTACCATGGATGGTGGAAGATGGATCAATCCTGTTTTATTGCTTGTGTCTGTGTCAGTGCGAATAAAGCCAAGGTACACCACCTACTTGGAGCTCTTGTGTCTCTTAGTCAAAGAGAAATAAAAGCCCATTGGCCCCCACATTTTAACCTAATTCTGTATCTCTTTGTTTCATCTTTGTCACCTCTTGATCAGGTACAAGCTTGTAAGTTGGCTTCCGACATTAATGCAGTCAGGAAGCAGAGAAAAAGAAAGAGCAAGAGACAGATAAGGCCTTCAAAGACAGGTACCCAGTGACCTGCTTCCCTCAGTGGAGCCCCAGATCCTAGTATCCATTTTATTCTGAACTCATCAGCTCTGAACTCTCCAAGTTGCCATGGAGTCTAGCTGTCATGATGTGCCGTGGTGTGGTGCAGTCCCCAAAGACCCATGTATTAGAGGGTGTTTGCCAGTCTGTTTGGCAAGTGTGGGCCTTTGGGAGGTGAGGGTCTAGGGGAAGAAGTTAGGCTCCTGGGTACTGTGCCCTTGAAAGAGCCATATAGACCTCACCCTCTCCCTCCCTCTCCATCCCCTCCCCAGGAGCCATGATGGGCTGTGCCTCAACAAGACCAAGTCACCACAGACTGAATCTCCAAGACTGTGAGCCAGAATGAACCTTTCCTCCTTAGGAAGTGTCTATCTCAGGAATCTTGTCACAGCCACAGAAAACTGGCTTACATTGGGGTCTCTGACACAAGAGAGAAGCCCAAAAATAATTACGGAAACAATCAATGAATGGACAGGTGAAGAGTTCTGAAGGACAGGACACTACAGGAGGAAGAGCACCACAGTGCTCAAGAACATGGGCTGTGGACGCCAACAGTATGGCCTCTAATTCTGCCTGGCTGGTGAGGGGCCCAAGACCACTTCCCTAAGCCACTTACTTTCCTGTGAGGACACTGGGCTGGTTACAGTTTCATCTCCTAGGGTTGGCAAAATGAGCCAGTCCATAAGCAAGCCCAGAACAGCCACTCAAACATAGATGCTGATGCTTAAACAAGCAAATCCAAATAACTGGTCATTTTTCTAATATCTGAAAATACTGTTCAAGTTCAATGCAAGCACAGTATTAAATTTGCTATTTGAAAGAAACACTATGGCTGTACTAGCATTAATTAGTCTTCCTCACTTAAGACAAAATTAATTTTTCCTTTCAGTCTCACAGAGAATGTATTTGTTTAAGACTAATAAGGGCAATAAAACACTATGCAAGTGCTTACTGTAGTGACCCTGTCTCCACCGCTGGTGACCTGCTTGTAATAAGGTGACCCTGAGAGGACTCTCCATGCAGATAGGCCACAGCTGGCTGCCTTCGAGATGCCCGCTTCCGTGGCTTCACAGCCACCCATGAGCAGAAGTCTGAAGAACAAGAAAATATAGAACAAAATTGTAAATACGAACAAGATAAAGGCAATGAAACATCACAGAAGGCCCCTGCACAAGGAAACTAAATTAAAGCCACTATATATTAGCAAGTCAGCATTAAGCAAAACTACCAACAGAAACAAAATGGTTTTTTTTAATTGGTACTGCACCCGCACCTGTGCAGAAGCAACACTTAAACATTCAGGGGGCACTCTGAAACAGGGGGCAAGTCTGACGCTCGGCTCCTACACCTGCAGATACTGCCCAGATGGACAGCAGACAGTATTTGCATAACTTCACCACATGTGCATGCTCATCTGAGTCTGATACACAAGGGTCTCATACAGCACGACAGAAAGAAAAGACAAACCAGTGGCGCACACCTGAGACCCCAGCACTCTGGGAGGCTGAGGCAAGAAGATCGCAGGCTCAAACCCAACCTGGGTTATTGGGTGACTTAAGACCCTGTCTCATAATAAATTTTGAAAGCGTGGGGGTGTGGTTCAATGTGGAGGCCCTGGCTTTGATTTTTCTTTCTTTTTTATGATACAGTAAAACAAATTTTCACAACCAAATAATAAGAGTAATAGTTATTATACTGTACATCATTATCTTCAAAGAATACTTACCTTTACCATATTCTTTTAGATCTAAAATTCTCAAAGTGAGATGAAAGTCCTCTGAGATGAGCCATGCTGTACACCACCGAGCACCCACACTTCAACGAGCAAACTCTTGGGCATACCCACCAGGATGCAGAGGTGCACAGAGAGGAGGAGACAGAGCCCGTGGCCTTGGCTTAACTGCACCAGCTTCTGTCCTCCCATCTGAAGATTAAGGGGCTGAGTCTTCTAGCTCTGCCAGCCGATGGAGTTGGAAGCTCAAAGCAGGACCACAAAAATAAACCAAGGATAAAGTATACACACAGACACACACGCATACACACACACACACACACACACACACACGTGTGAACACGTGCAGAAAGAAGCTTGAATAAAGGCAGAGGCCAAAGAAGAATAGTACAGTAATCCTTTTTTTTTTTCTTTTTTTTTTTTTTTTGCGGAACCGGGGATAGTACAGTAATCCTAACATGGGAGAAACCCAGCAGAGACAGGGCCTAAGGCCTGAGTATCACCATGTGATGCTGTGAGGACATTGAAGTTGGGAGCCACACAGAAAACAATTGCAAAAACAATCCCAAAGGTTTACCAAGAAGGTTCTGCCATCTAACACTGGCTGGAAGAATCTGACCTCTAGTGGCTTAGAACTCCTTCCAGGCAAAGGGCAGGGTAGGAAGTTCAGAACAACGAGAACGTGTTCTGTCCAACATCTGGTGTGCCAAGATAAACAGCAGGAAGGAAGGGAGGGAGGGAAAGGATAAGTTCTGAGTGCTACAATGTGGAAATAACTAGGGCTTAGTCCCGTGATACAGTGCCTGAACTAGCATGGTAGCAGCCCTGGTTTAGACAGGTTCAGTGGGACCAGAACTGTCAATATTAAGGGCTCACACATGTGACTGAACCCTCAGAGCTAGAGCTATAAGCAGTTCCTCCTTTGGGAACTGAAGCATCATCTACTTAATTCATATATACATATCACCTACTAGCTCAGTGTTTTTATTAACTCTGCTTATGTTTACCAACAAGATAAAGAACTTAGAAGAAAACACACACAATCAAGACAAAGTCAGCCTTTCTCAAACAGCAGGAGTGCATCAGAATCCCAGAGGACCCAGAATAGGTAAGCTGGGCCTCCTACAGACATGGAGCTCCAGAGGCAGGCATGGGGGAACCCAATCTCTAACTCTAACTGCACCTCCAGGAATCTTAATGCTGCTGGTCAAGGGCCAGGCAGGAGATGAACTCCATGTTATATTTAAGGAGACTATCCAGGCTCTCGAAGACATTGCTCATGATCAATCAAATAATACAGTTAAAATTGAACAGCAGCTGGCTATAAATTCCATAAGACATAATTTGGAATTCAGAATCAAACATGAGAACATGTATGAAAATTCAATACAAGTGGTTAGGATAGATATATAGTTACATTCTCTTAATGAATAGAGGGATTTGTTCTAATGGTGTTTGTAAATAGGATATCATGTCCGAATCTTGTACAGCAATGAACCACTAGGAAGAATGTATGCAATGTGTTAATTATTGAAACTGTCCTACGAATTTGACTTGAAACTGTCTCATTGCTATTTGTTTCTCAATAAAATTATGGAAAAAAATTTTAATTAAAAATAAAAAATAAATAAAAATAAAAACTCAATCCATCTGGCTTTGCACCCACCAAGCAAAACTGGACTCACAGATGCCGGCTGGCACAGAACAGCTCAGCAAGCAACTTCTCCAAAAGGACAGCTTATAAAGATTTTAAGCCTGGTAGACCACAGCCTGTTTCACAATGCTTTATTTAAAAACAGCATGAAAAATGCCATATACAGAGTGCCCAAAGAAGTATGGCCATGTATCTATGAAACTCTACAGACACCTGGACAGAATTTTCATGAGCTCCCAAGTATCTTGTTTTGAGTATTTTTCAACTACCTAAGAAAAGTTAACACATGGTTGTCAACAGGGCAGGTGAGGTTCACAGGGCTCAGTGTGCCAAGCCCTCGCCCAAAGAAAAGCCCTCAGCCCTGGGCATAGAAGACAGGAGTTTGCCAACAGTCCCGCCACTGTTGGAAGTGTCTTAGCTCCAGGAGCCCGGACATACCACACAAAGCAATAGGAGGTCACCATGGCAAAGTATGAGGACCAAAATTCAGCATGAGTAAAGATCTAGCTATCAACTCCATAGCTTTCTCTATCATCACTGACTCCACTGAACTCAATGCAGCACACATTCTGGCAGTGCTTAAAGTCTGCAAGGGGGCCAGTGAGATACCTCAGTGGACTAAGCACCTGCTTAGGCAAGCACAGGGACCAGGTTTCAATCCCTGGCACCACACATGCACTGGCCCCACCTCTGGACACTGAGCCAGCCACCAAGACCAGGCATGGTGGCACAAGCCTATAATCCCAGTGCTGGGAAGGCTGAAAACAGGAGGATCACTGTGAATCTGAGCTGCGTAGTGAAACCCTGTACCAAATGCATAATAAGTAATAAAATAAATAAATAAAGTCTGCAAAGTAGTATGTTAGCAGTACGGGAAAGACAGCATAAAGAAACCAAGCTCCTGATAGCCTAAATCGTTTGATAATAACAATAAGCTTGTCTTCTGGATGGTTAACAACCTAAGTTTGCAGACCAAAATTAGAGAAAAAGGAGGGCC